TTAGTACATTTTATTGATTTACTCTTTTACCGGATTTATCTTTAGTTATGATCTATCAAGTAATCTTTGACCAGAAGCTAAAATTAATTAATATTACAAGTGAGAACGAAGAGCAGAATAATTGCCGTGTTCATTTTTAGTTACGATCTATGTGGATAGATGGCTTCAATCAGAAAGCAATATTAAATAAATATAATACATCGATTTTGATTTTTGCAAAAGAAATAAAAAATTAGAGTGCACTTCAGTAACCATGTATTATATGAATCAGTGGGGATCAGTTATTGTTTGTTAATCCTCTCTAGGACAATTATATTCAGAGGAGAGTACGGGAAACGTACATGAAAATGCACACGAACCAAACGGTGGACTTAGTTCGCAAAAGAGTAAGTAGAATCCTTTCCCGTTGTTGTCCGTATTTCTTTACACACAACATAAGTTTATTGTAAGTTTAACAATATTACGATAAACCCCATTCCACAATATGCACTCTTAAAATTTGGGAAAGTTGTATTTATTGATAAAACTTGTAATTTAATCCCGAACACTATTTAACAATGTTATTGTCCTATATCAATTTACGTTGCGTGTTTGTGGATTTATATGGTTGCGAATCCCTCTCAGGTCCAAACTTTGCATGTGGATTGTGGGTGACCGTATCTAATCACATGGCGTAGCCCTCTTTATCAGGGTAGACTTGATAGTTTTTTTGTTTGTTTGTTTGTTTATAATTAAGCACAAAGCTACACAATGGGATATCTGTGCTCTGCCTACAACGGGTATCGAAACCCGGATTCTAGCGTTGTAATTTCGCATGCTGCTGTGCCACTGGGAGGCGACTTGATAGGTACATTTGGGCCTCTGTAAATTACGAGGGGATATTTCATGCTAGTATTAACAAAACGATTCATAAATTTTTGTAATCTTAATCAATCGCAGAACACACTTTGTGAAATTTAATCTCTGCTATCAATAAATCGTGTGTTTAAATCACAATTTCAAGCAAATATTTGTAACTCCAACGGCATGAGTTTAAAAAAAAATGTTTACATGGTTTCTTATCAGTTACTTGCAAATATAAACTCAAACTGGAAATAAGAGAAAATATCTAAACGTTAACTTGTTTTTATCCTAGAAAACTTACTGGTGCAAGTTCGACAAGGCACAGATGACCGTCATGGAGGCATTGGAGAAACTAAATGCACTGGTAGACGAAAGTGACCCAGATGTAGATCTCCCCAACATCATCCATGCTTTTCAGACAGCAGAGAAAATTCGTGCGGCCCATCCGAATCTAGATTGGTTTCACCTTACTGGGCTGATTCACGATCTGGGGAAAGTGATGGCTCTTTATGGCGAACCCCAATGGGTGGTGGTAGGGGACACTTACCCATTGGGCTGTTCTGTTGCTGACTCGGTAGTTTATAAAGCCACAACATTCAAGGACAATCCTGATCAGAAAGACAACCGTTACAACACCAGACTTGGAATGTACACAGAACACTGCGGTTTACAAAACGTCCTGATGTCGTGGGGTCACGATGAGTATCTGTACCAGGTGTTGGTCAACCACAAAACTTCTTTACCAGAAGAAGCTCTGTACATTATCCGCTTTCATTCCTTCTACCCCTGGCATACGGGGGGAGATTACAACTACCTTTGTAACAACAAGGATCTTTCGATGTTACCTTGGATCAGGGAATTTAAGTAAGTTATCTGAGTGGAAGGGTATTTAAAGTTAATAGTCATAACACTTTCTTATCTCCAATATAAGATGCTAAAAACAACAACATATCTTTAGATGAAGACGAATTCATTTATCGAAAGCGCTAGGGGTTTCTACAGTTTTAAGATTGTGTGGATTATCGTTATGATAGTAACCTGTATCTCTCTTTTATTTTAAAGGATTCTACGAAATTACAATTGAAAACTTTAACAATTTTTATTTGACGTTACAGCAAATTCGACCTTTATTCCAAGTCAGAAGACGTTCCGGATATCGACAGTCTAATTTCTTACTACCAGTCTTTGGTAAACAAATACGTTCCAGGAACTGTACGATGGTGAAAGAAGAAGATGGTTAGAAACTTTGCCAAACTTCTTGGACATCCTGAAAATAATGTATAATTTGTATAGATTTATTGTGCGTAAAAAATGGGTTTTAACTGTTTTTACACACACACACACATATATATATATAGCAACACTAATTACGCTAGGTTATGAAATTGAAATGTATATCTTTATTCGATAAATATTTAGTTAAATGTTTAAATTCCTAATGAACAATAAATACTATCTTATTACTTCATTAAGAATGTGACAAAGTATAGGTATCGGCTATTTCGAAAATCGGTCTCAAACAGAAAACTTCGATACTTGTTTGTTTGTTTGTTTGAATTTATGCACAAAGCTACACAATGGGCTGCCTGTTTCTAGCGTTGTAAGTCCGCAGACATACCGCTGTGCCACTGGGGGGCAACTTCGATATACTATCTGCGGACTTACAACGCTAGTTTGTTTGTTTTGAATTTCGCGCAAAGCTACACGAGGGCTATCTGTGCTAGCCATCCCTAATTTAGCAGTGTAAGACTAGAGGAAAGGCAGCTAGTCATCTCCACCCACCGCCAACTCTTGGGCTACTATTTTACCAACGAATAGTGGGATTGACCGTTACATTATAACGCCCCCACGGCTGAAAGGGCGAGCATGTTTGGTGGGAGAAACTGCTAAAGTACAGATAACCCAGTGAGTAGCTTCATGCTTAATTACAAACAAATAAAATCAATACACTAAAGTTATAGTTCGAAAAAAAAAACGACCTTTACTCTCCAGATAATGCACTTAATGATTTATTATTATATGAAGAGTGAATATTGTTTTTTTCTACCTTTACTGTCAAAATGTTTAAATCCCTCTACTATGCCCCACAAATTCTGAAAAACAAAAAGTTGTGTTTACCAAGTTCAGTCAGAGTACGTGAAAAACATGCGCGGCATAGCTGTTGAACAGTTTACAATCACAAGCAACTGTCACATCACTGTCGTCAAGGTTTATTATAGAAACACGAAATGTACAATAGTTAACGCTGATTCTTATTTCATAACATTTTAAAGGGGAAAAAAAGAGCTTATTAGCCAATCAAAGATGTCCTTTCCAGCTCCCAACTACAACCACCCCTTACTACTGATGTATTCATTCGATATTTTCTTGAACTCGGTTAAAATTTCTGCCTCCACCACCCTTGAAGGCAGCTCATTCCAAAAGCTAACCACCCTGTTTAAAAAATAAAACTGTCTAAACTGCAGACGATTCCTACGCTGCCAAAATTTGAATTTTTGACCCTTGTCCTGTTGTTTTCACTGCTAAACACAAAAAAGTTTCATGGATCTATATTATCAATACCCTTAATAATCTTAAACACCTCAACCAAATCCCCTCTGACCCTTTTCCTCTCCAGAGAAACAAGTTTAGGGATTTTAGTCTCTCCTTATAGGACAATCCCAGGTATCATCCTAGTGGCTTTTCTCTGAACCTTCTCCAACAATTCAATGGTAATTTCAATATCAAATTAGGATAATTGCCATACTCATTTTATATAATTAGTAACAAAATGATTACATGCAAATAAAATTGAATTCCTAGTAATATTTGAGGTGTTAAAGAAATAACAATAATTTTCAAGCGAAATCCCATAATGTAACTACGGCGTTTCCAGCTCATCTTTAACAGGTAGCAACTGTAGATAAAATTGTTTCATAGACAACCTGTTAAAAAAATAACAAGGTATTTTGACTCACTAACATGTATCCTTATCAGGTTTGACCTGGTGAAGATATAGTGTTATGGATTATAAACGTCTTGTGCAAAGTTGGTAACATAATCGAATAAACAGACAGTCTATGAATAACAGATATTTCATTACTAGAACTAACAACTTACAAATCCCCGCTGAAACAGCGGTAAGTTTACGGACTTACAACCCTAAAATCTAAGGGTTCGATTCCCCTTGGTGGACACAGCAGATAATCTGATGTGGTTTTAAACATGTCGCTAGTATTTTTCAATCTAACTGATTTAAAACAACTTTCTACAGTTATATTCGAGTCTCGTGCATAAAATGCAGTTACTAATAATTTGCCTCACTAAGCCTAATACTTTTTATTCAAAAACATTTTTTGTAGTCATCATATTTAACACTTTTAAACGTAGTTTTTGATTTGTGTGATGTAATTTAATTTTTCATTCTCTCTTTTTTTTAAAGTTTGACAGATGTCGTTAATCCCACTAATAAAATGAAATTAGTTATAGATTTTCCTCAAACCATTTCCATGTAATAAACACTAAGATAGGTTTTATTTTTTCTATGAGATAAATAATCGTATTTGTATAAAAGTATAACAAAACACACAAATACACCACAGTACAATAGTCGCACAAAGACAGATACAGTTATATATATATATCAAAGATAATTCCTATAAACAGTGACTTATTGAGTTGAAAGATTCAAAGAATACATCGATTGAACTCTTTCATTATCTCCAATTACTTTTATAGGTACCCTACTGGGGTTCCGTAGCAGAAAAACAAAACACCCCCTCTCAAAAACGTCACCTCTGATTATCAGCGACCATGCAAACCTAATCCTAGACCCTGGGTGACTTTTAGGGAACTTTTTAGCCCCTTTAGTATCCCAGATAAATAAGGTTTGAAAGCCATGTCATTTAGATAAGTACACCTTTTGAGACTGCTTCCAAGTTTGGTCCTGCTAGCTTGTGGGTAGATTTATTGGACAAACAGACACAAACAAACAACGTGAATTAATACACGATAAATTGTTATATAGTAAAATTCCAAAGGCGCGTAAATAAAGTTGTTAACAATTTAACATATCATTATTATTATTAAAGAAGACAATAGCATAAGAAAGAAAATTTCGGCCAATTTCACAATGGATTCATTGAATGTAAGCTTTTGGACTAACTTAGTAGTTCTTACTCAGCAAAGGGAAGTTGAGTGTGAACCTTCAGTTACACGCAGTAATACAGAACATTTGTTCTGGTGTAAACGCATTTTCTAAAAAAAAGGCGAAGCATAATTGATTATAATTAATATATTTTTAATGAGTAGTAGGCAAGCTTAGAAAAGGCGTTCACACTATAACAATTGTTGTAACAAATGGTTGATATGTAAATAGTGTTCATATCACTACTGTGTCTCAGCCGGCAATAGCTGCGGTGGACATAGTGTGGTTGAAATACTATTAGTTACTCTACTTCTTCTTGAGAGACATTAAAAAAATGAATTAAGAATGTGGTTTGAAATTATAATAAGCAGAGCACTAATGTCTTAGGACAAGTATGATTAATGTAAAACATTACATAACGTATGAGCAGATGGTGCGTTATATTAATTAAATATTTATACCCATGATTAATTATACAGAAAATGTTCTACATTGTTTAGTTTAACGAAAGGTTTTTATTCAAAGTGTCTGGTCTGATGAATAACTCATAAATGTGTTTGTCTTTATTAAAACTGACGAAGCTTTTTTTTTGAAAAGTGCGTACAAACGGGGGAGGGGACCAAAAAAACAAAACAAAAAACAACTGGCGATTCTAGGTTTGTTTGAATTTCGCCTCAAAGCTACATGAGGGCTATCTGCGCTAGCCGTCCCTAATTTAGCAGTGTAAGACTAGAAGGAAGGCAGTTACTCATCACCACCCACCGCAAACTATTTTACCAGTGGATAGTGGGATTGACCATCACACTGTAACGTCCACACGGCTGAAAGGACGAGCATGCTTGGTGGGACGGGGATTCGAACCCGCGATCGTCACAACATTGCGGTCATTCGAAATCCACGCTCTACTAGTCCCATCAGAGTCGTTTGTTATAATTCGTGAAACAATAAAGCCAACAACTGCCAATTTCAAAGAAATTAATCATTCATGTATCTGTTTAATTATATTGGGTTTTGTAGGCAATTTTTTTCTCATTGGCGTGTCTATTTAACTCTTCTTTATCTATTTATTTTAATTATATTTTTCTTCTGTAAAACACTTTAGTATTTTGTGTAAAATTAATTTATATTATTACTGAATGAATATAATATTTGTACAGTTAATAAGAAGTGATGAATATAAATGATCACAAAATTAAAATAAATAACAAATATATATATATTATATAATTTATATTTTCAGAGAAGTCCCTAGTGGATGCAAGGAAACTATTTCATTCTCGTAAAGCAACATCTTCGACAAATATAACTTCCACAGCATCTAAGTCATGATAAGCATGCGCTCTCCACGCGTCCTAATTGTAATGTTAACTCACTCTCGCGCCAGGATGCAAACGAACAGTTTAGGACTGGATCGCTTTTATCGAGATACCTATATAAGACGTAGGCCTAGTCAGCCGAAAATACTCTTAAAATTAATTTCAGTAAGAAGAAATGTTTTCAACCTCATTGCTTTAATTCGTGATCTTGGTTGCAGTATAACAAAGCCAAAAATGTTGTTTTCCATACCGCATTTTGAAGTGAAATTCTAACAAAATACATGTATACCGTGTCCCAAGAAATCAGAAGCTAAGACTTTGACAAACAGGTGAAAAGCCATCACCATGCTGAATGTACACAAGCTTGTAGCAATTCCAACACGAGCTGATGTTTAGCAAGAAACAGAAGAGAAAACTGTCCTCGGAACCAAGGAGAGGCAGCACTCCACTCGCAAAATAATTTGCTCCATCTAAACTTTCCTTTCCGTGGTCATGAATCTTCATCCAACTGTTGAACTTACTGCTTGCTGGAATTCAGATGTGCTTGAATATCTACAAAGAACCAAAGTTCTCCACGAATACTTCCAATTACATGTCATCATCACTCGAAATTATTCAGGCCAGTTCCGAGATAATGTCAAATGTAAAATACAATTCCATTTGGCCAGATAAAACACCCGACTGCAGCAAACAAGACCAATAATGCAGTGTAAATGGTGTGGTTGTTTTTTTACTAGGTATGAAACTGCTCTGAATATCCAGTAAACAGAAGAATATTCTAGTAAATCTTGTAATTTATTACAACGTGTGGCCATTACACTGGATTACAGAAACACATGTGAAATACTTGGCTCCAAATGTGTATGTGCATTATTTTGCACCCCTATTTAATTTAGTGACTGTGGGTAAGTGTTCAAAGAATAAAATAACAAGAAATTTTTGGTAGTATTCCATAAAATGCTTTCAATTATTGAACGCAACTTGGTCTATTCAAGAGCACTGAACAGCAAATTAACCCTATGTGCACCAGTGAGGATCAAAGTGTACCTGGCATGACCTTTTACGTGGCATTATGTATTTGATGTTATAGAGTTATGAAGTATTAATTTTACCCTATATTGCAAGGATACCGAAAAACAAACAAACAAACTTAGATACCCAAATACAAACTGTACCCAATAGGGTAGATGGTATAAAAATACCCCCCCCCCCAAAAAAAAAAACAAACAAACTTAGCGCACATCTACACATTGCCGCACATGGATTGAAAAACATTGGTCATGTCGCTTCCAAATAACCGCAAAGTTAAGATATAAACATTGCAATAGTAACATTTTCCTGGTGCTTAAAGAATAGCTTACAGCAGTGGTTCTCAAAGTTTAGTAACCTGAGGACCCCCCCTTTTAATTTAAAAAGTTTTTGTGGACCCCCAAGCCTATCGATGTTGTTTTGAAAAAAAATTCTGTGTACACGAAAAGCTGTATTCCAAAACGAACTATTTTAATTCACGCGAGTTTAATTTTACAAATAAGAATTCAATAAATCATTTTTTAAATATTTTTTATGAAATTTCGAACATGTCTTGCAGACCCCAGTTTGAGAAAAGCTGGCTTACAGTATTAATGTTACTTAGAACACTGTACTAGAAAGGTTTTTTTTTGAACATCAAATCAAAATTTTAAAGCTCGTGTGTTTTAACATCCAAAGATCATTTCCAAGTTTCCAGGTTTTTTTTTTGAACATTGAATCAACATTTTAAAGCTCGTGTGTTTTAACGTCCAAAGATCATTTCCAAGACATAAACTTTTATAAAGTATTTGATTTGATTCCGATTGGTTTAAGAATTTGATTATTTGAAAACGTATTGCCAACTCTTGACGTCCACCGATTGTTTAATACCTTCAAGTGTGGATAAATACCCCAAGTTGCAAGCCTTGGGTGGCATCTATTTAGGCAACATCTGGCTTCTAAATACAAGATATTTACTCGATCAGTTGATGGAATTTATCAGACTCGGTAAAGGAGGGGACCACATACATGTGTCCAAACTTGAGCTCTCTTTATTACTTGATTCTAGCTCTGCCAATCACAGCACGTTCTCGAGAACACTCCTTGGCACAGAATATATACAAAAGTAAGTTCCTCAGCATCATGGCAGAGTAGCATCTGAATGAGTTGATGGTATCAGAACCAATCTTTGTATTTTTCACTTGTACTCTGAATAACGTTTTCATTGCATACATTATACATATAGTAAAGATGCTTACACAGAATATTTTGGATTACACTATGATGTCTTCTTTTATTGTATGTTCCATCAGTTTGTATCAAAACATGCAACTGTTACATGTACATAACTGTATATCACTTAGGAAATGAATGTACACACACACTTTGTGTATTAATACCAGTGATAAACATTACTGTGCATCTGTCCAACCCCCCCCCTTTCCATGTTGATAATAAGTGCAGGATAAACTATGAACATAAAAAAGTACTTTAAATACTAATTTTAATAATACCGTAGTTTCAACCAAATGAAATTGAACAAGATAAACACTCTACATTGGTATTTAAAAAAAATTATAAAACATTTTTTTTACATAACTGTTGAATCATTTTTGTTTTGTTTGTTTTTAAAGATCTGGTAACATTGTAAGGATGAGCTGGAGTGATGTTCATTACACGCTTATGAGAAAAAGTGTATTTATTATACTCAGTAGAAAAGTTACTGATGGGACCACTTTCTCTCTCTCTCTGAAAGAACATTCTAGACGTTTAATTGGTTTTAAGTCACAAAGATTTGGTCCTTCAACAACTTATTCAGACATTTCTTCCGATGATGGTGGTGTACTTTCAGCTGGCTCAGAAGCTTCATCTTCAGATTTCTAGATGAACAAAAACCAGAGAGAAGGTACATAATTAAGCAAAGTACTTAACATATACCTAAAAGCAAAAAATTAAAGACACTATTGTTTAATTAGAATAAACTAGATACATAATTTCCATGCAATCTAGAAGGCGGCTTAAATCCACAATAATGGAACAGCACTAAATTTACACAGATATAAGTTATGACGCTTGTTGAAACTTGTACTCTTATAAATTTGTTTTTGTTCCAATATTGTAGATGTAAACTTTATAGAAGTTGCTAGATAGTTTGTTTGTTATGGATTTCGTGCGAAGTTACACGAGGGCTATCTGCGCTAGCCGTGCCTAATTCAGCAGTGTAAGACTAGAGGGAAGGCAGCTAGTCATCACCACCCATCGCCAACTCTTTTACCAACAAATAGTGGGATTGACCGTCACATTATAATGCCCCCACGGTTGAAAGGGCGAGCATGTTTGGTGTGATGCCGGGCCTGCTAGATAGTTCATACAGTTTGTCAGTTTTTTAATTTGTGCAGCTAGCCATCCCTAATTTTGATAGACTAAAGACAAGACTAGTTAACAACACCTTTCGTCGACTCTTTCCAGACTGAATATCGGAATTTGACCATCACTCTATTAACCCTTTCACAATGGCCATCATTTACTGCGCATGTAACAAGGTTTTAATGACTTACATTCAAAATTTTATTAAACTACTTTTTGTTTATGTTATACCAATTAGTATACAAGTTTTAAGTTCTTAATTTTATAAGGCAATATTTTAAAAAATCCTGAATTTCCCCTAGTGTGAGAAATGTGACATTTTCTCTAGACATCCCCTCTTCTCTTTTTTATTTATCACCCCTTCAATAAGTATGAAATGTATCATAAATTACTCACTATAAAATCATCATTTTTTTATTGTTTTAAATTTTGTTTCGTTACAGGTCCATCAAATAGAAAATCAGACTTTTCTTGCCACACCCACCTGTCACATCCTCTCTTTCAAGATTTGTTAATAGTTCTATTTTACATTTAATATTATATTATTTATAACCAATAGAAAGCCAAGCTTTTCTTCTATCAAATGACATATTATATTACACTGTTTTCTGAACATAGAATTGTCAATTCTCTTTTAGTACGAGCTTTGTTTCCATGTGAAAGATATCGACTAGTGTGGATGACTTTGTAACAGCATGTTATTATTTTATGTTCTTTGGTGCATTATTCAATTAAATAAAAACTAGTTAGAGCATTACTACCATTAGTATTAAAAAGTAGGGTTAAGCATCATTGACAGTCAACAGAAAAAAAAAAAAGAGAAGACCCAGGTAAGTACTTTATTTCTCGCTTTTCATGTGTATTCTTTATTTATTATTATAAAAGTAACAAAATGTAAAAATAGGAATCTCCTTAGGTTAGTTAACGTTAGATTAGGAAAAAAAAATACTATTATAAAAATGTTTCCTGATGCAGCTCGTAACAGCTCATGGGTAATGTAATTCGTTAGCATAATGTGAGCTGCCCATTCCCCAAGCAATTTACAACTCATAATGGCGCAGATAGTAATAGACACGGTTCAAAGGGCAATAAAACAATAAAGTTTAAGTATAAATAGCTGTATACTGTTACGAGGATACGAGCTACTTAGGATAAATGAATGTAGTTTCATGTTACAATTTGAAGTCGTTCTAGAAAGAAAAAAAGGGCAATTTAGATTTATTTCATTTTTTTTGGTGGTTACGAGGTCAGTCAAATTGACCAACCTTGTATACAGTTAGGGTAGAGAAAATAACATAAAATATAAAGTTTTACTGAAAACAAACATTTGAAATGCATTTAGGAGGTTTTAAAGACTATGCAAATGTAATTTGAGACGAAGAAAAGTATTTTTATTCTTAACATGAAAATCACTTTGCACTCAGACTGGTAAAAAAGAAAGAAA